ATAAATTATCGGCACATCACACTTGTAATTGTTTGGAAGCTCTTGCATGCATGCTCCTCAATGCTATTGCGCCTACCAAATTACTTCCATTCACCATAGCTATACGTCATAAACACAATGATAGCGCTATGTCACCTGTCCACCTTCGAACCATAATTGAAGGCCTCCTGGCTTGGTAGCAAATACATTGTTTTTTCCTTTCCTCAGCCCATTACCTCGTCTTTACTTGTGTGTGAATTTTACTGTTTGGATGTATAAAAAGAAAAGGTTTCAATTTAAGTTAAAAATATATTTGATGCCGTCATAAATATTCATGAGCGTCTAATTGCGTTCACTTCCAATTGTTTGTTTGTTATTTGCCCGTTTTTTTCCTCCATTTTTTCGGACGAACAATGCTGAATACTTCGGAGATGCATTGGTAAATGCAGGAATATTTCAAGGTTTCTTGCATTACAACAAAAAATATTTTGTTGTTGTCACAGAGGGAACTATTCCAGCTCCTGTTTTTATATTTTTATTGAGCAATGCGATTTTAATGGCTACATCTTCATGGATTTTATACAGTTGTGGGTGGGTTGTGCTGATTCCATTCATGCTACTCCTTATAATGCGCGTGTAATAGCTACAGCTACTTAAGAACTTCTGTCAAATGATCTTAGAAGTGCCCGTATTTTTAATATTTTATAAAAATAATAGTGCAAGAAGCTTAGGCACTTATATTGCAGTTTAGTTGCTTTAATTGAGCTTGAAGTGGTGGCATGAGTATGAATACTGCAATATTCATTATAAATAATTGACGGATAGTTAGAAATAATTGTAAACAATTTTAAAATAAATCTGATATAAAAATGGTTAGGAGTTTTCAAGTCTAAAGCGGTAATTATATATATTCATATGAGGGAATTTACAAAAGTTTTAAATTTAGAGTATTTTTAAAGTCCAATTATCTCTATAAATAGTACATTACACAGTTTTATCTCTTCCTCTATAAATTTCTATATATTTTTGGAGTCTACTTTCTAAAACATTATATATGTACAGATATATACTTTATATATGTATGTTATATATGTATATATGCTTTTTATCAGAAAATTAAATGCCACAACTCCTTGGTAGCAGATATCAAAAAAAATTATATAGAGAGAGGGTTCCATTTTTAATTTTTTACAAAATATAAAAACCACAAAAACTTTTCAATCAAAAAACTATCAATATTTAAATATAACTATTAATATAGTATTAACTTTCCATGAAGATAGTTGGTTTTACTGGTCGTATGGAGCAGTTAGAAATATTAGTCTAGCATAAGTGACACGACGATAGCTATGGAATCATTTTTAGCATTTATGGTATTATTATTGTTAGAAAACACTCTATAAATATATTCATATAATTTGTTGCACTAATTATTAGTAAGTAATTTACACGTAAAGTTAAATGCAATATATAATGATGTATTATTGTTACAATGTATTTTAATCTCGCTTTCCTCAAACGGTATTATAACATTTTCACATAAAAAATGAACCTATTCAAAATTCGTCCATTAAACAATCCTTTTTGTTTGAGATTTTTATTTTGTCACTATTGAGAATTTATAGCAGATAGTGCAATCTGTTTCATCGCCTTAAACAGGGAAATATTGGAATATTTCTTCTTTAAAATAATTTGACCGACTTTATTATCCCCTCTCTGCGTATAATTCCTGCTATAGTGATATATTTCAACACTCAGATAATTTGCCTAGTAGCAGATAGTTGAACATTAAAATATTATTCCATTCGATCAGGAAAATTAATATTTCATATCAGAATTTCCTTTACCTTACACTGGAGAGCTTAATGCTCTTAATGCTAAACAAAACTATCCGTGCTCCGCGAATAGGTTGAATTATTATGCATTAAATTATAAGATAGTCATCAGGTTATTAATTCTTAAAACCTGTCTCTATAGATTAATGATGTATATTTATACTTAATAATAAGTCCAGAGAAGTAAAAAATGTTAATTATTAGTAAATTATAGTAAGTAAATAAATTTAATTTTTATTTTGAAAGAAAAAATTTGAAAACCCCTTGTTTATATATTCCAAGACGTCTTCTTTGCAACGATACCTACATTTACTGAACTTAATGAATAAATATAATCGATTGCAATCACTTCGTACAAAGTGGTTCGCTCAAAAGAAGTAAAACTTCAGAAATGTTACCAAAACCGAGATTGATGACGGCTACGCATTTTGTGAGTTTGTAAGAGTATCATGCAATATACCAACTTTATTTGCTTATAACGTTTTGATGATAATGACATTAATGCTGGGGATATAATGTATTATACAAATATAATTTAAATATAATGCTTTGTAAGTGCTAAAATCGAACCTTTTATAATAGCAAATAATGAGGTAAAAGTAACAAGTGAAAAAAATAGATCAGATTTGATGAAGAAGAAGAATGTTATTATATCTTATGTCACGACTAGGCAACACACGTCTCTCATGACCTGAGAAACATTGAGATCTTTACTTTGAGAGAAGCTTTGTTGAATACAGAGTTTATTTCCTGACATAAGACTTTCAATTTATCATGCTTTTCGATTTTTGCAACAATTATTCTATAATTAAATTCAGTAGGAATTATCAAAAGGATTTACAGAGTTTTTCAACTGAAATAAATTATAAAGAAATCATAGTTTTATTCAAAAAAATAGGTGAAGTTACTGGATAAAATTGACCACAATTTGATTTATAAAACTATTTTTCAAATAAAAAAAAAGTGAAATATAACTACAAAATAATCAACTATTGCTGATAACGATGATACGAAGGACCTTATATGAAAATGAATTAAATTTTGAATTTTGCAATCAATGAAAGGGAATTACTAGCAATCGTTTGGGTTCTAAAGAACCTCCGAAATTCTTTATATGGTGTTAAAAATTTAAATATTTTTATAACCATCAACCTATGTCATTTGCGGTCTCAGATCGAAACCTCAATGCGAAAATAGAACGGTGGAAAGCGTTCATAGATAAAGATAATGCCCAAATTTTTTATAAGCCAGACTGTATCCAACAGAAGCTCAATACTAAATTGATTGTTTCTTAAAAACTATATATTTCAATAACAAAATTTATATAATATGTATGCTGTATGTATGTATATTAATATATTAATGTACTATAAGTAAAAAATAGACAGGAAGAGGTTTTTGTAACTTAAAATCTGTCTATAAACAATTTCTTCTTTCTATAAGCTCATTTTATAAGCCATGTTTTATTTTTTTTTATATAAATTAATTTTAGTGTGTTCTAAAGTTCTATAATAATTCAAGTAAAATGTGTTACTAAGACTTGATTTAGTATATAACAATATGTAAAGCACATTAAAATCAATGATATTTATATTTATTTCAAAACTTCTTTATTTTACATAACTATTAAATATAATAAGCACTTCCGTCTAAAAAATTTTACGTTAAATTATAAGTCATATTCATAAAATATTGGTCTCGCCCGTGCGACTCGTGGAGTCACATTAGCATGACTTTCACAGTATTACGTTCCTAGATTAGGTTCTATACATAAGACAGAATATATAAATCATGCAACAAATAATGTCAGAATAGTATTGAAATTTAACAATTAAAAATATATATATAATTAGTTAATCAATTCAATTATTCTACGGCTGGTTTATGATTTCGTTCTAATATAAACACAGCAAATAAATTTGTTAATAAAAACTTTCACAGCAAACAAAACTCTAGAAAAATGTGCGAACATAAAAAAAAGTCAAGTACGGCTTTGGGTCAGTTGGTTAATGTGCGCTGACTCTGAGCTACAAATTAAGCAGGGCATTAGTTCGAATCCTGGTACTTATAATCTAAAAAAAATTATTGACGAATAATAAAATGCAAGAATTATTTTCAAGACCACTGATGATGTGTATTTAATATAATTAAAATAATATAAATGAATGTTTGTTGTTGTAGTTTACTCCTGTTCGATAAACCTCTTTATAACTTGTTTTATTTAACAAATTTTACATAAGTTCGTCATAAATTTCAATAAAAACTTATTTACATCTGGTTTCCACCGATTATAATATAAACAAATGATATAATTAATATTTAATATTGTTTCACACAATTCTACTATAGTAATTATTGAGGTCATATATTTCTCTCTTTATCAATAAACTTACAACACGTACGATTGATACTAACACATACGAAAATTCTGTAATAATAATAGTTTGGTATTGAATTGTTTCAAAATATTATTTCACATTTAATTACTGCTTACGAAAAAATCACTTATTCCATCACCTGCACTTGTTCAGTTTCAGTTTTTTCCCTTGCAAATGCTCCACTCGTAATCTTAAACGATTAAGGAAATTTTCCTACATTTTGCGCGTGTATTTGCATTCAAACGCGATAGTGGAGCAGCAAAAAAATGTTTCAAAGGCAACACTGTCTCGCATTTCCTTCGCTGCTTTTGTTTGTGTTGAAATTGTACGATTTGTATTGCGAATGGCTGTGTGTGTTTGTGTGAATTTTGCTGTAGGTGTGTAAGCACTTGTTCGTGGCAAACGTACATATGTATGTACGTACGTACGTTATCGTCGTTTCAGTGTGTGTGTTTCCGTCGTGGTGTGCTAGAATTTTTTGTACGTTGTTGGCAGTTCGCGTCGACGTACTGCGACATCCGTTTTCGCCTATAAATATTTGGCACAAGAACCTTTCGAAGGCATTCAAAGTTGATCAACAGGTTGAAGCAGAACAAAAAGTGCAACGAAGTGCCAAAGACAAAAATTACCAAAGAACGTGTTGCATTTTACTAAGCTTTGTTTTGTGCGCAAATATTTAATTAAATAAATTTCTATTCCAAATTCTTTGATTTATATATATATTATTTAAAATAAATATTATTTTTAAATTGGCTTAAATAATTAAACTAAAAGTGTTAATAATAAATATTTTCAAATTAAAAACTTTTTAAATTATCGTACTTTTTGCAAGTGCAGACAAGAGGAGACAATAAAGGTGAGTTAAAAATAATTTTTTAATATAAATTTAATAAATTTTAAAATTTAATAAAATTCGATATAAAAGTAAAATATAATGGTATAGCAGTTATTTCAAAATTAATTAAAAATTTTGTAATATACTTCAATTTTTCAATGAATTAGAGTTTGATTTTTTTTAAAGTGTAAGAATCTTCGAAAATTATATATAAATAAAAAGTTGAAATCAAACCCAATGAAAGTACTTAATATTACATTTAATATTAATATTATTATTTTTGTGATAAATTTTCAAAGGTTTTTCGAATAGCAGTACATTATTAGTTTTGTTAAAATTTAGTTAAAAATAACTTATGAAAAATTTCAACTTAAAAATAAATTTTTATTAGTATAACTTATTTTTCAAAATATATATAAAAATATAAAAAACATTTATATTTAAATATTAAATTGTTTTAAAATTATGAAAAATTTCCAATTAAAAATAAATTTTTAATAGTATAACTTATTTTTCAAAATACATATAAAAATATAAAAAACATTTATATTTAAATATTAAATTGTTTTAAAATTATGAAAAATTTCAACTTAAAAATAAATTTTTAATAGTATAACTAATTTGTCAAAATATATATGAACATATAAAATACATTTACATGCATTTACAGTTTCTAAATAAAATATATTTTGCTCTAGTAAGTAAAATTATTTAATTTAGTTTTACATAATAATAAAAACTTTAAAATATAAAATAAATAAAAATATTTGTTTTGAAGAAAATATAATATTCATAATATTCGTTTAAATTTATAAAAAATATTATAAATTATGGTTATTAAAAATAACCATAAATAAATTAAAGAAACCATTTTCCATATAATATATGTTAAATGCAAGTTATGCATACAAGTTTTATTACAATATATGCATATACACATATATACGCGTATAAATATATACCACTATATAAAATATACCAATATGAATTATTAGTAGTTGGAATATTGATTATAGTTGTTTTTGGGCTATTAAAACATGAATTTTATTTAAATTTAAAAAAATTTATCTTTGAGACAAAATCTTTAGAAAATAATTTTTTGGTAATTTTAAATTAATTCAAATATTTAAAAATTAAATTATATTAATTAAAAAAAATTTACTGATTTTAAAGAACAGTTTAGAAAGTATTATATTTATTGCGGACTAATAAATAATTTGACAAATAAGTTATATTATTAAAAATTTGTTTTTAAGTTGAAATTTTTCAAAATTTTAAAACAATTTAATATTTAAATATTTCTTAAATGTATTAAATATTTTTTTAATGGAAAGGTTTTGAAAAGAAGTGAACTACAACAACAAAAAAACAAAAATTTTTTTTTTATTTTTAATTAGTCTTATTATTTGAAATTAGTCTTATATATAATTATTAGTAAATAAATTTTTGAGACTGCAAGTAATAAAGGATTAACGTATGCTCTCAGGTTTCTTTTATTAAAATTCTTATATTTTAAAATTGTTTTATTTAATTTTTTTATGTTACTTAAAATTGTGAATTTATTGTCAAACTTAATTTTTGAATTATAAAAATATATAACTACATAACACATTTCTGAGCCAAACTTGGAATATAAACAAAATTTGTTTTAAACGGTTATTTTAAATAAATCAAATAGGAATAAATAAAAATTAAAATTGGCTTAATAAAAAATAATCAAAATAATTTAACTAAATTAAATTATTAACTGCATATATGCAGTTATATATATATAATTTTTTTAACTGTTAGATTCTTCTTAACTATTAATTATTTGTATTAATATTTTCTCATATTTTTTATAAATTAATTTTATTTACTAATTTTTAAAATTTGATATTTATAAAAACAAAAATTAAAATATTCCTCATAAAAAATCATACAACTTTAAATAATTATATTAACCACTTAACTATATATACTTTATATTGTCATAAATATTATTATTATTATTTAGTTACAAAATAGCTCTGCAGTAATAATATAGCAATAAAATATAAAAATAAAATGAAATGAAATAAAAAAATACAAAAATAAATAATAAAAATAAAAAATTAAATATTTATTAAATAAATTATTATAAAAATTTATTTTAAACAGTTTAATATCAGAGAAACTTAATTTTTTAATATACATATATATGAATATATAGTTAAACCACTCTACAAATATTCATAACAATTTTTATAAGTTAAAAATTTAAAATAAAAACTAATTGTGTAATATACTCACATACTAGTACAAGGTACAAAGTATAGTTCTACTGCGAAAACATAACTAAATACCTTTAGATATTGTTAATATAGTGTAGTAGCAGGTTACTGTAATCGGTAGGACATTCTTCACAGTAACTTATATAGTAAAGTTATATATAAGTATAATATAATGTAATGTATATATTAATATATAGTAATATAATGTTCCAATGCTAATAATGGGTTAAATAAAATTTCAAGATATATCTTTGATATAATCTAGCCACATAGCGCTTAAATAAAACTTAAAGACATGGTTCTGACATAATCTGGTCATATATCGTTTCGATGAAACCCTGCAGGCATTTTTTTTTGTAACTTTTCATTACGTATATTTTCCATAATATATAAATAAATTAACTTTAGGATTGAAGTTCTGTATTAAAAGAAGACGATAGATCAATTTTTGTTAATATATATACTTTTCATATTGGTACTCCAATACCAGCTAGTCATGTACATTTCAATTTACCGTGTCATATCACGGTTGAGATTCTCTCTGTTTGGTAGAACGTTACACCCCGACCTAAAAGATCTATTGTGCGCCTAAAAGCCCAACTAAGACAATTCTAGACTATTTATAAGTCTTGCAATTACTGTGGGCTTAATTTTAACTATTTGATTTGCGACTAAGATCCCGCTTCCAAGGTAGTCGAGTCTACGTCTTGCCGTCGCTGGGCAGTTGCATAGAATATGTTCTGATGTTTCTTTCTCCTCATAACAGAGTCGACAGGAGTCACTTTCTACCGCACCTATAATCTTCATGTGGTAATTAAGTCTACAGTGACCTGCAAGAAGTTCAGTGTAGATTTTAACGTCTGCCATATGTTCTACTAAGGCTAAGGATAGCATCAACTTTGATGTGTTCAGGATCAATGAATCTTATTGATTGGCATATGCCTGTTTGCTTTTTTTTAACAAACTATGTATGTCATTTGGATTTTTTTAAAAATTTATTCTATCTAACATAATTTGTAATCAACAATTTTATCTGCTTGAATCATTGTAATATTCAGTTATTTGTTCAAGAATCTAATCGATTCTGGTTTATATCAATCTTATAAGTTTCGAAAACCTATAAAGTTAAGAATAAATGCATTTTAAATATGATACATTTTTATGTATTAAAATAGATTTTATTGCATCCAAAACATGAAATTAAATTAAAAACTTTATACATTTTTGTAAATAAAAGTTTTCTTAGTTTAATTAATTTTCTTATATACGACAATTAAAAATTGAACTTGAAGAGCAACAGTTGTTGTGGCACTCATTTTATTATGTGTTTTCATTGAAAAACCATAAGAAATTCAATCTTCAAGTTATTCGGTTGCATCTGCTCCAACAATTAATGCCATCCCTTGTCATTAATCATTTCACCTTAAAGTGCAGTCTTCAGTTTAGTTTCTCATGGATGCATAAGATTCAGAGTGAAATATGTTGAAAACGTTTGCATCGGCAATTGAATAAATACTCGTAAAATAAATGAAACTTTAACAATTGCTAATTCACAGTTGAGAGTTGACACAAAATACAGCATCACTCACCACATTGCAATGCATAATTGGCATCTTCAAATACAAAAGAAGTATTCGCTATTGTTGCCTTCATCAATGTATGAAAATTTTTATATGTGAGACCTCTTAACACACATATGAAATGCATTACTACAGCGAATAGATTGCTCATTATAACAAAAAGCATACTTACATACATAAACACAATATTTCCAGAAGAATTTCTGAAGTTTTTAGCATTGATTTCAATAGATACTTTTGGAAATAATTGAACGTACCTTTTAAAAGCTTTAAAATACTCGTCTGATAATGGAGTTGGGAAAACATTGCACCCCCTTAAAAAGGATTTAGTAAATTCAAAGTATCTGCGCTGATAAATTCGCTGTTATGCGCCTGAAAGTATGTTTTTCTATTTACTTTAAGCAGAAGTGTAAGATGCAATTTAATGCCCTTGAAGTGGGAGATTTCTATTATTGCATTCAACAAAGGAGTTTCTTTAAGAAATAACATATATTTTTAATGGTAATATAATATTCTTATTCCTCTTCTAGAGTACGTGTTTTATTTAATTTATGATATGTAATTGCATTATGAACAGATTTAAATGAAAAGCGTTGAGTTGAAGTAGAGCAATACGATGTAGTGGAGTAGTGTGCAATAAAATAGTTAGATGTTATTTTTTACTTTATTCAAGGATGTTCTAAAATAAATCATTATGTAACCTTAAGTCTCTTATATTTTGAAAACAGAAGTCGAAGTTTTTATTGAAACCACTGCATATAAAAGGCTAGCGGATTAATTATTTATTTAAAATTATCCTTGTCTTATGGCACAAAAACTATATCGAATAGAAAAGAAAGTAACAGTAAAAAAACAGAAAATGTGTTAAAATTAAAAAGATAACTATATTAATGAAAGTGCGAACAACAGACCTTCATAGAAAACCTTTCAATTTATACAATTTTCAATTTCTCATCAAGTCCATTCTAGGGCTGATCATGCAACTGTTCTGATAATGGTCAAATATGTATCATTGCTGATATTTATGTTACGTTAGGTTATACCGGCGATCTCAAGGGATCTACTTAGGCCTATAGGTCCATTGTGTTATCGTATAATTAAAAACCTAAGGGTTAGAACTAATGAGGACGTTTGACAAAGCTTGTAATGCTATTCAGATGGAAGTCTTGCAGTTTGCCAAGATCCTCAA